GACTTTTGTTGACTTTTCGGAAATTTAAGCGGGACCCTTCTTAAGGTAATTCGACGTCCTAAATCCGTTTTTGACATTTGTTTTCCCAAATTCAATTGTTATGATATAGTTTTATTAATTGTACCTTTATGTGCTTAGAGGTAATTATTAGTGGCGTTTCCATCTTCGTTAGGTTGTGTGGCTCGTCAGCAGCGAAGTATTTGTGAATGGGCAGTTTATTTTATACCTATACATATTGATAGTTTTCCTAAATGCGTAGTTACTTCACTTTTACGCTTATATTGCCAAGTATTCGATATTGTGATATGAAATGTGATAAATGCTGCTATATGGTTGAGATATTATTGTCATGACATTCATACATATTTGTACATGCTCATCTTGCTGCACCCTGGTGTTAGTACTCCACCCAAGGCCAGGGCCAGTCCTTCACGTGTATGTTCACATCCGTACCATTTGCTCGCCTTGGATCCAAGTTAGGTGCCAATCTTGTCGAGTAGATTGCATTAGGCAATCCGACTTGTACGTGACCATGCTTCTGCACCAGTCTTTGCGTAATCGTAGTACTAGAGCGCCTTGATTACACCCAGTCCGGTCGAGTAGAATTTCCTTAGGCAGTTCCAACTCGTGTGCTAGCTTAGATGATGAGCAAACTACTTATAATTGGTTATCACATGATTATATTACTTTGGCATTTGATATATCATGACTTGGCATATTTTTGGTTATATTGCTGTATATTTGATTACGTACTTACATAGTATGTTTTAAGGAAACTATACTTGTTTTACTGTGAGGGGTTAGTATATTCAAAAATTAAGGTTTTCGTATAAGCATTGTTTTACTGACCCACTCAACTTTGTTTTTCGCCCCTCCAGGTTTAGTAGCTGTGTTTACGCGTATACGAGGATTCTGGCAAATGTCAGGAGATGGTTATCTTTAGTGGTATAACCCTCATCCTAATTACTGTATTGTCTTATGCTCTGACATTACGTGTGAAAAGGTTTCAATCCCGCTCACCCGCGCACTTTTTTGATTAGGCATTTTCAGGTTTAATTTATTCACTTTTTCCACATCACTACACTTTATGGCTTCGTCACCTTACAGGTGTCGGCCATCACACACTCGATTCGGAGTTCTAGTAGACATTCTGGGTCGGGGTGTGTCATATGCCCCACACTTTGTCTGTGAAATTTTTATTTTAAAATGGAAAGGAGAACGGGGGAAAAAGAAATGTGGATTAGAGAGAGAAAGCTTTTTCTTTTCTTTTTTTTAATATTTTATTTTTCAAATTTAAAGGATGTTAGCATCACACTTGGGTGAGACTTCGAAAAAAAGCAAGAGAATTTAATTTGTGTGAATTTACTTTACTGCCCATGATTTTATTTTATAGTAAAAGATAAAATTGTCTTTTTATTCTCTTTTTGTTAAGATTAGGATGAAAGAGAATTTCTCTGCCTAGATTCCCTCCGTCTCCACTGCCAGCTCGTTCCCTCCCCTCCCATTGGTCCGATTTCTCCACTGAGACTTAACCTCGACTGCAGACGACCACTCCCTCTCCCTCCTCCTCCTCGTCCAACATCAGCTTCAAGCAAGTAGGTGAAAAAGCAAACACAATCCTCCCTCCCCAATAAAAATACTACCACGAACACTGCTGCTCTCTACCTAATCCATTTATTATTATTTAATTACTAATTAAATCTAACCCAACCAAAAAAAAGAAATTTTAAAAAAAATAGAGATTTAGAGCCACTTAATAATATGGTGTTATTCTACACTTATAAGTGAGAAATTTTAAATTTTATATTATCGTTGTCAAAAATAAATTTAAACCACATTACTACTAATTGCTTGTGCACACTCTAACCCTTAGAGATAATAGCGTTAGTTAAAAAATAAAAAACTTAGAGATTCAGAAGTGCACCTTCTTGGTTGCTTTCCTTGTCATTCTCCTCCCTGTTTTTACATCTTAGCCGCGGGGCACACAGAGAGCGCAGTAACTATGGCTGTTGCTCCTCTTTCTTTCTAAACTCCAAGCATCTCTCTCTCTCTCTCTCTCTCTCTCTCTCTCTAAATCTTAAACCCTAGAAAAGCCTATCTCTCTCAATCTCTCTATTTCAGTGCAGAGTTGCCAACACTATAGAGAGAGAAATGGCTTTTGGTTTCAGATCGCGTTGATATCTCAGCTCATCTCGCTCACCGATCGACGCCGTCTCTCCCAAGTTTGCTCAATAGGCGGCTCGGACTATTAAAATGCTGGCTGCTACTCTCTGCGATTTCGATGTTAATCGCCCAAAATGTCCGCTTCTTTAACTGCTTTTGAGCGCCCCCTTCGACCTGCTGCTTCTAACACGGTACTCTTTCCTCCTCCCCTCTCATTTTTTTGCTTAAATTAGTAGAGTCGATTTATTTATTTTATTTTTGAATATTTCTTTAAATTCGTTTTAGCTGCCTTTCGTGGGAAGCCGCCAAACTGATGTTGTGAAATGTGATTTTTCAATTTTTTTTTTTTTAGATTTTGGTTTTCGTTAAATCACGGGTGGTGGAATGTTTATCACAAATGTTGTGAAATTCGATTGCATTAGATTGATTTTGTTTACATGTTCTGTTCTTGTTTGGTTAAAACTTGAACTTTGGGCTCAAAAAGGAGTTGGCCCAACAAGAGGACTAAGAGGAAAGAGGCCCGAAGCCCAGCCAAAGCCCAGAAGGCAGAAAAGGGTTTTTCCCGATTAGGTGCAAATCATTTGCACCACTTGTTCACCTACCTAGAGACCAAGTGGTGTAGACCAGCCAGCTAATCAGCCCAAAAGCACTTTACAGTGGCAGTACAAGTAAAAAGCTGATGAGTCATTGTCCTTCAAGCTGCATTCGGGCAAGATTAAAGCTATAGGAGGCCAAGCCAAACTGTCTATAAAAGAAGAAAGAGAAATCAAAGATAAGGACACTCAAACAAACAAACAAATACAAGCACAAACTCTGCTCAAGCCAGATTTTCTTTCAACGAAGCTATAGTCAGCCCAAGCCTTCATCCCTTTCGGGATCAACCTTCACCCAACGCCTTTGTAAAAGCTCTGCTACCTTGCATAAATCCTGTTGTAGTTTCGATTTCCTTCTGTAAACTCATCTCCCCATCCCTCTTTCTAAAGCTTTCAAGCTCCTCTATAAATCACAAAGATAGGAAGTTGCAAGACGACCAGTCTTGCCTGACCCTCTTTGTTTTTTGTCTTTTCATTCATAAGTCTAGTAATATGTTGTATACTTCCATTTGTATCCAAGTTAGTTCTAGCAAGTTGATGATTAAAAGACTCCTCAGTGCTTGAATTCGATTGGAATATGTAGTCACAACTTAAATCAGATCTAAGTTCTAAACCCTCAGGCATGTAAGATTGATCATTCAAAAGTCCTTGGTCTCAAAGCATAAAAAAGAACCTTATGTGGACTTAACCCATCCATGACAGTCTTTGATAACAAGAAGTCCGAAGTTACTTGGGGCGCAAGTAATCGACCTATTTCTTAGTTTTATTTCTGTTATATTATGATTATCGTAGAACGTTTGAGTATAGAAGTGATTCTAATGGGAAGCCTCAAGGCCTACACATAAGGTCCTACAAAGGCACCTATTTGGATGCATTCTGCTCTTCGGGCTCGGGTAATTAGAAGTATAATAGTCATAACACTTCTGCAACCAATGAAATAAACAGTATATGTTCGAGTACTGGGTTAGTTATTGATGGGAAGCCTCAAGGCCTACACCTAAGGCCCTACAAAGGCACCTTTCATAACTAAAACAGCCTCTCGGATATATATACAATTAAAACTCAACATCTGTTTTACATCTGCCATGCTAGAGATGGCAGTGGCACGCCTGAAAACCAAAAAGTTAATCTTGATTGTAAGCCTCAAGGCCTACACCAAAGGCCCTACAAAGGCACCTTTCAAAGTTAACCTTGTCCTTCTCTTTCAGCCTTGCCCGACAAGCCCGCCAGTAAGCAGAAGCCTGACAGAAAGCATCAGCTGGCACCAACCTCTTAGGGAGCTGTGTGCTCGTCGGCTAGGAAACATCCCCAACGGAAAAGGAAAAGGAAAAGGAGGAATAAGGAAAAAGAAAGTGTGGCTAGGGTCTTATATCAAGGCCCCACCTTTTCTAAATCAGTAGAGCTGCACCATTTCTTGGAGAACAAGAGGGTGATGGTTCTAAACCTTCACACCCTTGTAAGGGTACAGCAAAGGAAAATTAAATCCTTTATCTACCTTCTCAAAAAGGAAGTCACAGGAAGAGCTCCAGTGCAAGAAGCTCCCTGCTCTCCCCTTTTTTTTATTGCTTGCAGAAAATTAAGAGTTTTCATGAGGTGTGGGGTTTCTCAGTTTCTATTGTAGCGTGTATTGTCTTGCATTTTAAGTTTCTAATATGTTCATATGCACAGAAACCTGCTAGTTTGTCGTGCAACTTTGGCTGCTTGTACTAGGCTTTGTTCTTAGTTATCCAAAAATAAATTAACAGCTTCTCACAAGCATGCATTTTGTATCTAGATTTGCCCACGTGAAAGGTAGGACAAAATAAAATGAAAATAAGGTGAGCTCGAAAGGACCTGCAACTATGAGCAGGGATTGTAAATTTGTGTCAGTTCAGGCTACAAAGGGATTGGAGCCATACAAAAACAAACCTTTGATAGCGACTTCAAAGATACTGGAAAATTTTATGGATCTTTGCTGATTTCTCTCAATGAAATTTGCCGTGTTGCACTAAGTTACTTACAGATGTATGCATGCAATTCGGGAACACTTTGGGGTCGATCAACCATAGGACCTGTTTAGAGTTATTTGGTCATTTATTTTCCGTTTAGTTGAGTTTCTTATATTGCATCAACAAGTGCACATGCATATTTCTTCTGAAAGGAAAGGAGCATTTTACTCTTTTTGGCTGGGGTGGGTGAGGAAGGAAATATGCATGTTGATTGGCTTGGTGAGGAAGGAAATATACATGTTGATTGGCAATCCTGCAATGTTTTCTTTTACTAATACATAATGTTTTTATTTTTCCAGATATATGATGTGGTTCGTAAAGAGATTTGGTATAGACCGGACATGTTCTTTTACAGGGACATGCTTATGATGCTTGCAAGAAACAAAAAGGTGGATGAAACAAAGAAGGTTTGGGGAGATCTGAAGAGAGAGGAAGTTCTATTTGATCAACATACTTTCGGGGACATCATGAGGGCTTTCCTAGATAGTGGTTTGCCCTTAGAGGCAAAGGAGATATATGGTGAAATGACACAATCACCTGATCCTCCAATCTCACTGCCGTTTAGGGTAATATTGAAGGGCCTCCTCCCGTACCCAGAACTGAGGGAGAAGGTGAAAGATGACTTCTTGGAGCTATTTCCTGATATGATCGTCTATGACCCACCTGAAGACTTATTTGAAGACAAAGAATGGAAAAGAGAGAGTGAAGATGATGACTAAATAATACTGCAAGGCATGATGCAATGACACACCCCGTCCCGAAGGAGGGCATGCTGGCCGTCACGTGAGAGTGACGTAACCATTTGCACAGTACGGAAGCTTTAAGATACAATTTATAAGTTGATACACCCGAAGGTGAGTCCTAATTTTGTCCAATCTGTCAGAACCCCGCCGTATTCCTCGTAGTCACCACACCTTTGTGATTCCTGAACCTGGAGGGGCGCAAAACCAAAATTGAGTGGGTCAGTAAAACAATTCTTTTCCAAATCCAAACATTTTTCAAAACGTTGTAACCCCTCTCCGTAAAACCTGTATATTTTCCCAGAAATGTAAAATATAAATATACATATATATTCTCAATACTTTAATTCATTAACTCAACATTTTTTCTTTATCAATCATGCCATGCCATGTCTAATTCAACAGTTAAGTATGGATGCATCAACAATAATCATATCAGGTGCAAGAAAGTAATCAACCGGAGGCCCTCCAATAGCCCTGTACGGTTGAACCTAGAGCTCAAAATCTATCATTATCACTCTACCGGAGTCACCTCTGTGACCCGTCCGGCCTTCTGCACACAAGTTACGCTCTAGTGCTTCTCATAAATCATCTGTGCACATAATCTAAGGTCACCCCCAGTCGGAATCTCACTAACACTCTCGCGACTGGCCTGTCGTACCCACTCCGCGTGGACTGTACGACTAGCATCTACTTGGATCCAAGGCGAGCGTGCGATGCGGTGAATACTATAAGCACTAAACCATGGTGCAGGATTTGAGCTCAATATATATATCATCATCATCATAACAGTAATTAAATACTCATCTGTGCGTCCACCGCACCATTTCATACATATGCATCATAAATCAATTCTTACCTGTGCGTCCACCGCACCAATTCATACATATGCATCATAAATCAATTCTTACCTGTGCGTCCACCGCACCAATTCATACATATGCATCATAAATCAATTCTTACCTGTGCGTCCACCGCACCAATTCATACATATGCATCATATATTAATTCATGCATGGCATTTCAACTCACATTTCTATATACTTTTCATATACTTTTATGCATTTTCATTTAAAGCATAATTTCATGCATTTTCAATTTCTGGGAAACGTCAAGTATATATATATATATATATACGGAAAACAAAACTGCCCACTCACCTGGAGTTCGCCCAACAACTCCCTAGCACCACACATCAAGGCGTCACGACGATCGCCGCCTAGAATAGTAATCAAATCCAACCTCAGAATTCATATCGATAGAATATATAACTTATATAAAATACGTCACTACGTTGATCGATCCGGAAGATCTGCCACTCAGATTTTAAATCCATAACTTCCAGAGGTCCACATTATACCTCTAGGACAACATCCTAAAATTTCATTACCATCCAACGGTCGGATCTCCGTCAATTTCCAAAACTAAGTGACGGTTAACATTTTATATTATGGACTTACAATTCCAATTCCGGAAGATCCGTAACTCGGATTCCCCAATCCGTAAGTTCCAATAATCCTCAAAATATTACGTATTAAACGTATCAAAGTTTGGTGACGATCCAACGGTCGGATCATCAATTCACATTTTCACCTAAATGTGAAAACTATAAAACGTTATTTGAACACCTAACCAACAATCTTCAATAACTTTCTCATACGGTGTTCAATTTAGGTATATGAATATACCACAGTGATCTACTCGACGTCACGGACGTCGACATATTTTTAAAATAATTTATTATTTTATTTTTTATTTTTACTGTAGCACCTTCTTCTTCCTTGGGTCGCCGGACTGGTTTTTTCCGGCGGCCGTTTTCTGGGCAGTTTTTTCAAATTGCCATAACTTTGTCATTTCTCAACGAAATCAAGTGATTCAAAAACGAAAGTTGTAGCCCTTGAAGAGACAAAGAGAATGGTACCTTTCCAAACATAGTTCGCCGTAGTTTGGCCGGAAACTGCTCGAGCCTCGGAGGTCCGCCGGAAACTGGGTATTTTCAAATGAGTATAACTTCTTCAATACTCACGAAATTGAGTGAAACAAAAAGGAAGTTGTAGTACTTGACGAGACGAAGAGATTGATACCTACTCGACGCCTAACTCGCCGGGGATTCGCCGGAAAATGCCTCGAAAGCCCGGCCAAACTTTGAACTTATCGATCTCCGTGTTCTTACGTCCCAAACTTCCAACGAAGCACTCCGAGCTCCTTGGAACCTCACTAAGCTCACTGTGAGCTTGGATGTCCTAAAACAAAGTCAATTCGAAGATATGAACAGTGCACTTTCACGGAGTTTAGAATCTAGGTTTTCCGAAGTAAACTTACCTGAAATTGGTGTCTACGTGATCGTGGGAGTCTCAGGAGTTCGATGGGGTCTTAACTCCGTCGTTGGTGGAAGTTTAAGGTTTTTTGTGGTTGGTTTGTTCGAACGGAGAAAGAAGAGTGACAGAGAGAGAGATTCGTGAGGGAGGAAGAGAGAGACAGTATGCAGAAAATAGGGAGAGGATTGAGGGGGGTGTGGGGATCCCACGTGTCCAACTCAATCCAATTGTTTAAATTTCGCCCTTAGTCCCGTTTAAGGGCATTTTCGTCTTTTTCAGTCCTCGGAATAAAATTCCGGGACGGGCTGTGACAATCTTCCCTCCTTATAGAATTTCGTCCCCGAAATTCCAGCAACCAACTAAATCAACCTACTCCAACAATAGCTTCGGGTAAATCTTTCTCATCCGATTCTCTTTCTCCCACATACTTTTCTACTGAATGATTTCCTTCACAAAGCTTTTACTACTTACTCTGTCTTAATTCTCAGGACTTCTTTTTCCAATCCAAAGTCGTCCTTGATTCTTATCAAGTCGAATCCAATTTAATTCTCAATAGTTACACCAGAATCTCATGTGACGAATCTGCCACCTAGTGACAACGCATCGAATCATAAAATATGTTTTGCACCTTAACCAATTCTGAGGGCATCACAAGCTTGTAAGCAACTTCACCAACTTTTCGATAATCACTTAAGTCCGATTAACTTAGGATTTAACTTACCTTCTTTCTCTACCTTGGTTAATTCTTAAATTTCTTCGTCAAGCATTTAAGTTTCAAGTACGACCTTACCAACAGGCCTAACTTGAAATTTAACAAGTATAACTTCTTCTCGATCTTCCATTCTTAATTTTTCTTCCGTTGGTTTTCAATCCACAAGATGATACTCTTGGCAAACGTGCCAGACATTAATCTTACTGTAGTCTTCTCACCAAGTGCTTCAGTTAGAACAAACTTTACGATCATCCTGATCGTACAATCATGTTCATTAAGCAATACAATTCACTTTCGCTGCCTCATATCAAAATCCTTCCAAGTAATGGATATTGAAGACTTTTTGGATTCGTAAAAATCTTGCATTCTTACCAAATATAATGCCTTCATAACTTCACAGCAAGAATGGTAATCATGATTTCTAAGTCACCCGTAGGGTAATTCATCTTATGAGATTCCATTTATCGTGAAACGTATGCAATCACCCTAACATTTGCATCAACATGCATCCAATACCATTCAAGAAACATCACTAAAAATTTATGATTACCACTATTCTCTGGGAATACCAAAATACGTGCATGAGTGAGGAAATACTTCAGTTGTTGAATCCTTTGCTCACAATTTCCTTCCCACTCATACATAACCTCTTTTCTCGACAGTCTCGTCAATGACAAAGCAATGACTGAAAAATCTTTCACAACCATCCAAGATAGCCTGGTAAGCTAAGAAATTCTGAATCTCAATTACAATTACGCTCGTGGTTGTTCCAATTTCTCAATTTCTGCTATCTTTTAAGGATTCACTTGAATACCTTAAGAATATATAACAAATCTCAGAATGCCACCTGATTCGTCTAACTTTAGCATTTGCTAACTTAGCATACAACCAACGTTCTCTCAAATTTTGGTTCACCGACTTAATACGTTTACAATGCTCTGCTCTGGCTCAGAATATGCCAGAATATCTTCAATAAAAATGATATCAATCTATCAAGGCATTATTGGAATACTTCATCCATCAACTCATAAAACAGCATGAGTATCCACATAGCATCACCAAACTTCATAAGGACCATAACAAGTCCAGAAAACCATCTTATGATCAACGTCACTTATAATATTCAATTGGTAGTAACCAGATCTCAATTCAATCTTTGAATCTTCGCAATTACTTCTGAGCTGGTTAAATAAACATCAGTACATTACCATGGATAACGGTTCTTAATCGTTACCCGACTCCATTGTCTATAATCAATGAACAATCTCTAAGTCCATTTTCTTCCTCACCAACAAACTGGGGCTCCCCCAAAGCGTTGTACTAGGTTGAATAAAACTTTTATCAACCAATTCTTTCAACTAAATTTCCATTTCCCTTAACTCATCATGAACCAATCTTTAACATAAATTTATACCTGGCAACAAATCAATAGTGAACCTCATATCTCTGCCTGAAGGCAATCCAGGTATACTTTCAAGGAAGACATCAAGAAAGTCTAACCCCTTTTTCATTTTTCACACTTCTCCAAACAACATCATTTAGCACCACATGAGCTAAGTATTTTTGGGCAGCCTTTCAAAACAATCTCTTTGCTTTCACAGCATAAATAATGGCTGAACTCACTTCACTTTGTATACCCACCAAAGTAACCTCTAATTAATCAACTCGATGGAAAGTAACTGGTTTCCCGTAACATTCCATCTAGTCACAACTATAAACAATCACTCTAATGGAATAAAATTAATTGATACAATATATATTCTATTATTACTGAACATTCTAAGTAAGTACAACACTAGCATAAAATAACCTACCGGTTTGCTTGCTTAACGAATCCACGAATGAGTTATTAATATTACGGTCTGCAGCCCGCAATACTGATAAATCATCGTTGTCTCGATAAGTAGGCAACCACTCTCAAAGATATAACATTACTATTTTGTCACTCAATGTAAAATACATATACTCGTCTCAACTACATTTATTTACTACTCTCTAGGTAATAACATACATAATAAGAAATATATCAGTCGAAGTC